ATTGATGCAATTATGAATGAAGAATTATACTAAGTGCGAAATAACTTGGATGCAATTTAATAGAATTTATGAATTTAATGAGTATACTACGCACTAGGATCACGAATCCCCAAGCAATACCCGTTCAATTGTTAATTATGCAATTTTGACACACAATTGCACAAAAGATGAATCAATATTCCTATTTTAATTTAGCAATCTCTCTCGAGCAATGCCAAACCTATCCCAATATACGATTCGACTATATTTCTATGACGAATACTAACATACCGACATGCATTATAAATTCACGAATATCCAATGATTCACACAAGGCATAGAGGTATATTTCTATCCCCTATCGGACCCTATGATGATTTATACTATGTCGAACCTATTTTCGTTCTTTCAAATGCATAAAATAGGCCACCACAATTATATAATTACGTGCACAATAATCATGTGAAAATAAAAACGTAATAAATCAATCAAATCCGGAACTTGTGTTCAAATACATCAAAAATCCAAAGCAACAATTAGACGTAGTATTACAAGGTTCATCGATCTCCTAACAAGGATAAATCTAGCCTAACATGCTAAAAAGAATAAAACATAAAAATATTTGAAGAAACGACATCACCCGAATCAATCTTCAATCCGATCTTCACTTGGCGCGATGTTGTTCTCTTGTTCTATCCTTCGTTTCTCCTTCAAAATCTCTCAAAAACATGTAAAAATGGCGTCCCTTACGTTCTAGTCGAGTTTTTGTATTTATAAGACCCTAAAAATATTGTTTCCATAAGAGTTTTGAAAGAAAAAGGAAACTGAATTTTCCTCGAGAATTGCTCTATGCGACCGCATAGAGCAACTCTACGCGGTCGCATAGAGTAAAGTTTTGGTGCCTTTTTATTTTCGGTATGCTACTATGCGACCGCATAGTGCTACGGTAGCACTATGCGGTCGCATAGTACTACCAACTATGACAGATGTGCGTTTTGGTCCTTCTACTTGCATCCTTCACTTCTTGGCATCTTCTCTTCATTCTTTTCATTTCATCATCCCACGATATCGTGAATTGGCAATTGGGTTAATCAATTTCTCGATTTAATCATCGGATCAACTTTTGGATATTTTCACTTTGGTCCCTTTGCGTCATTTTAGTCCTTTTTCGCGTGAATTTCACCACGTTCTTCGTTGTTCCCTACAATTCACAAATGTACAAGATTAAGTCACAATTCAATCATTTTGCTCGTTATTAAGTCATATTTGTAAACTAAATAAGTATGCAAAAACACACTTATCACGTAGGCCCTTGTTTTTGGAAAATTAGCCCTCGTGAATAATTTTTTTGAGTATTATAAGGATGACACTTTTAAAAGTTTGCATTTAAATTGGCTTAAAAATTTCTCATGTAACCATATTCTTTCTGGGCTGAGATAAAGCAGATAGATGTGAGGGAAAAAACTGTAAAACCCTCAACAGTATGAAGTGAAAGTAGCTCTCTAGAGTGAACTACTCCAAAATTTGTTTACTTGTTTGCTTTCAATTTCCTCAATTTTGTATTGTTATTACTGCTCTTGATGATGCATAATTAATCATCCAATCCATTTTCTTTGGGTTCAATAACATAACTGCTCTCATTTTAAGATATATTATAGAACTTCAATTATTGTTTAAAAAAAATACCAAATCTTCAAACAGGGTGCAACTAGAAATGTGCGTTATATTCAACCTTTTTCAATCACCTTCGTCGGCCTCAATTTTCGTACAGTTGATGTAGCCAACAAATTTCGACTCCTCTCACGTTCGCATGATATTTGTCCAACATATTTGGACAAACTGTTAAAAGCAATCAACAAAGGTAGGAAAGGCGACTGTGAGGACTCCATGATCAAGTCAATCAACTTGTATAAATATGAGTGTGGATCTAACAAAAGACGTGAACTACATAGTCTACAATAGTGTACGAGCATCGAAGGTAATAAGAGAAAAGTGAGAGCAATATTACTAAGGGAATGTAAAATTCCATTACTTTCAAATGGCACTAAGCATGAATTTTTGTAATAGAAGATGATGAATGATTACCATTAGATGAAAAAAACACGTAACATCATCCTGATGGCTGAGGCATCTTCTGCTAGATGATTATCACTAGTAGTTAAACCCTCCCAAAAGGAAGCCTTCTTCCTCTTCTACGTAAGTTGTACAGAAATGAGTCAAACCAACCCAATTCAAGAACAATGAAACTTCATCAGGTCTTCATGTCAAAGTACAGATAATTCACATTTCACAAATATATCTATTTCGCCAGTGTCAAGATACTAGATCCAGTCCTCAGCTGAGGTTTTTCTCAAGCCATGGGTCCCAAAGTAAATTGGATACTACCACGTTTTTGGTCCAGTTGACTTCATTTTACACCTACAGAGTACACACTATAGTCCAAATGCAAAAGATTTTCCCGTAACAATCATGCTTTTGGTTATAATTTATAGACAACTTGATTTCCCTAACTTCAACATGAAAAGGAACCATGTACTTCAACAACATATATAGTATAATATCTTCAAATTCAACTCGATCTTTTTAGTAAAGATTTGGCAAGGTCATATAAAAACCCATTATTCTTCTTCGCATCGTTGGGGGAAAATCCAATAATTCAGAGTTATTAAAATCCATGGTTGCGAAATCACACAATTTTCATCTCCAAATAAATCATACAAAATATTTTATTTAATATGACTAGCAAGCATAATCCGAGACTCTATTCGATTCCTATTTTTTGAAAATAAATTTTTCTTTCTTCTTTTCGACCATATATTATTCACTAAAATAATATTACACACAAACCAAAAAAAATTTCCTTATTTCTTAACCACGCATTCTCCCATTTGAAAATGCTTATTTTTAATTTTTTATTATTAATTATTTTATTATTTTTATTTTTTTTGGGGGCAAAAAATGGGCGTCAAACTGGCTTTAAATAATATCCCATCAAATCACCGTCTTAAAAACTATAGGACATTCTAAAACATACATACAAAACAAACAAAAATGTGTATCATAGCACATAACATGCACACTTACTCCTGCATGAAAAATGTCGATAAGAACTTATTCTTCCAAAATAATAAAACTCTTCCTATTCATTAGGAACATTAACGTTTAGAAAAAGCACATAATATTCTTTTTTTTTTCTAGCAAAAACTCTGAACACAAGAAAATATATTATCAAGAATGCTCTAACAATCAACAAAACTTTCAAAAGAGATCAAATAATAACAAATTAGCAATTTTTTCTGTCCATTCTTCATTTCTAATGGTAGAATCTCTTTGTACTGAGCTTTACATACGGATTGCAGTGTATAAATACGCAAAACCCCCATAAAAGTATACCAAATAACACAAAGTCCCGAATATCAACATGTAAATTTAACTACACGCCCATCATAAAGATAGGTTGTATCCCCATCTCTAAAACATTAACACAGGAACACACTTTTGCAAAGCGCATAAGACGTTCTTGGCTAATTCCAGGTGATAGAAAGATGGTTCAATTCATTCAAATTGACCATACAAGAATAAGATGATGAATGATGAACAACGAAAACATGGCCCTCATAGGATAGTAAACCAACAAGGATGAGTATATCTTGCAGGCGCCCCATTCTAAGCAATTAATCACCGGTCAAACTTTTATTTTTCACACATTCACACATGATTTAAAGCCAAGTGATTTTTTCTAACCGACTCAGAGGTTTCCATCATCAATCTTTCAATTAAGAGAATGTAGGAGGCTTGACGTTTGGAGCAAAATCATGAAATTTTTACTAAACCAGTATACACTTAAATACCTGAGTGGTGACCTATGATGCTCGGACTCGAGTATGAGTATCAGGTACGGGTACGTATCTAAGTATCGGATCTTTTATTTTCTAAAATGTAGGATACGTGGACTGGGTAAAAAGAGTCTATATTTTGGACACGGATACGTAGGTACGTCTTTGAAACTTCAATTTTTTTACTAACTCAATATGTTATTTTGAATAGACCAGAATCAATTGTTCACAAAGAAAAAACAGTAATAAATAAAGGGTTAAGACAAATAAAATAGAATTTTGAGGTTTAGTTTTCAATTATAAGAAGTTAATTACTAAATGTTATATAAAATAGAAAATGAAGAACTTGATTACAATTTGAATTTAGTGAAGTACTAAGTAGTATTATATGGAACCCATTATCATTTTACACAAACAAAATCCTAAACCATCGATATAGAGAGGGAAAGAAGGAAAAAAAATGGAGAAAAGAAAAGGGAAAGAAAAAAGAAAGAAGGAAAATCTAGCACCGTCGCCTTTCTCCCCCCCCCCCCCCCCCCCCAAACTATGACTTTCAACAACATGTAAATAAATTAAATACAATAAAGTTAGTGGATTAAAAGAATATATACAAAAAAAAAGGCGAAGTGTCCGGTTGAAATTTAGAGGATTCGACACATATCCCATACCCATATCCATGTAGTGTCGTATTCGACACGAGTACTCCAACCATTTCGAAGAGTCCGAGCATCAGAGATGGTGACTACAGCTAGAAGCAACAGATTGGGATTACAATTTCAATCGTTGTTCCCTTAAAAGTCCCCGTAGTCCGGTTCTCTTGTTCGAATGGGATTATAGGAAATATTTCCACCCCATCCTTCTGTAATAGGTTGCTGAGTTCCACCCCTGCCTTTATCACGCTCCCACCCCAACTTCCTGTGACCGATTGCTGGGTTCTGCCCCAGCCTTCGGCACGCACCTCACCCCAACCTCCTACAATGGATTGCTGAGTACCTCTCTAGTTTTAGGCATGCACCTAATCCCGACCTCCTGCAATTGGTTGCCTAGTTCTTCCCCAGCATTCAGCATGCACCCGATCCCGACCTTCTACAACAGCTTCCCGAGTTCTTTCCCAGCCTTCATCGACCCCACCCCAACCTTGTAAAACAGATTCTTGAGTTCCACCCCAACCTCGTGCAAAGGGTTCTAGAGTTCCACCCAGCCTTTGGCATGGACCCCACCCTGAAGCCCAGCACCAGAGTCCTGAGTTCCACCCCAACCTCTCATAAGTTGCTGCCCATTTCTGGGATCAAAAGGCATAGCATATTTTGTACCTTTCCAACCATCATTAGGCATCTCTCTCCAACCTTCCGTAGACTGAATATTTTTCATCCAGCCATTTTCAAATGGCATAGCTCGCTCAACTTGTCTCCAACTCCCTGAAGGCATTCCTGCCCAACCGTGCATGGAGACTATTCTCTTCGTGGAGATAGGGTCTGGAGGCAGAGCTTGCTTTCTTGCTTCCTCGCCTTCCCTATTTCTGTTTCTTTTTCTCTGGTTTGATTGAAGGGAAATCCTAGGCAATGATGCAATTTGATGAGAATTTGAATTACCTGTTTGACATAAGGTAGTGATGCCATCATGGCTAAATAAAAATTCCTTCAATTGAACTTCTCCAATCTGGCAATCCGTGAAGGACAAGATATACTGGGTAGAAAGGTTAATGCATTCATAGATCAGTTTTATTTCTGCCTGTCCTACTACCCTAGCAACATTCTGAGATGGATCACTGATATCCTCAACCTGTGAAGATTAAAAATTACTATATATTTAAAAAATTTCCAAGAGCATAAAAACTCAAGCAACAAAGTGTAAATACAAGCAACGTTAGAATTCCATGTTTTGGACATCCAAGATCCTTTGTATGTGCTTACACACAAACCTTTGGGGCACAGATTTTGGACAGAAGATAACTGCAAAGGTCAATTTCGGGTACCAAAAAAGTATCACCAAAATAAATAACTTAATTATCACAGAGGGTGTAAGCGCTACCTTGATTAGCAGAGTCACAAAGAGCTCAGCCAATGATTCTTTATTACTTTTTCCATAGTTTACAAAATTAGATAGTGACTTCTTCACTGTTGCAGGATCAGCACCATCTACATACAGCACATAAAGCCAGTTAACATCGCAAAGATGACCAAGAAACAAGAGCTCGCGAACAGTAGATCTGCAACATTCTTCGAGTCAACAAAAGTCAAAGACCGAGAAGCAGAGTGAACAGTGTATCCTTTATCAGCAACTATTACAAATTATATTGAATTATTGAAAAGGTGCTGCAACAGTTTTAGGGAGTAGTGTTCTAGATTCCAGGCTATCAAAGAGGGCTGGCTAGAACCCTTTTTCGATGACACGTATGATGACAAAGAAAGGGGACAGAAGTCCTTGCACATAGTAGTACCAAAGCTCTAACGACCCAAATTTCCTTGAAAAATCACTTGAAAGAATATGTGACGCTTGCAGCAGATGATTCGCAAGAAAAAACGACAGAAAACGACCAAAAAAATCAGAGAGAATACTCTGAATTCAACTCAATATTATTAATAATGTGGAATCATGAAAACTAACCCACAAGCCGGGTCAAATAGCTGCGAAATACGAAATTATTGGAAAATTACCAAAAATGGCAAAATCCCAAAATTATACCAAAATAAAATATTGAGTAAAAGAAGTAAGTTGCCAAAAATTTGGCTCAATTCGAGATTTCTAACATATAGAAAAAAGGAAACGAAATATTACCATAAATAGTAAAAAATAACTTAAAATTGAATTTTGGAAAGGAAAACAGTGGATTTTGGGCACGAAATTGATGTCCACCGAGCTACGTGCGCGCCGAAGAGAGCTTTCCGGATTAGAGTCATAATAGCAATTCCGATAACCGTAGTCAAAGTTATGGCCAAATTACCAAAGACGCGTCAAATTCTCCCAATTAAGGAAATAACGGTGATTCACTTTCCATCTTTGCGCCGATCCGCCATCTCATGGTATCTCAGCGCCATCATCGTGCTATCTGACAAATCAGCATCACTCGACTCGGATCCTCCTGCATCAATATGTCACTACATTAGTCATGCCTTACGTAAAAGAAGGAAAAAAGATTCTACTGCAGCCCTTCCTTGAACACACGACCACACAACAAAAACTTAAGTCTTATTCCCAAAGAATTTGGAGTAAACTACATAAATCCTCTTTTGTCATTCCATTTGGTTTATTGCTAGAATGATAGAACTACCAAAAGATCCAAAGTAAATAGATACTTAGCAACCACAACAAACCATTTCCTTCCCTTCTAATCAATTCTACTATGTTTACATCAATCTTATGAACAGTACCCCCTTTAATTTTACGCAAAGATGTGTTCCAACCTAAGTCATCTCTTTCATAATTGATCCTCAGTGGTGTGACATTCATTTGTTGCCGTATATTCTCGTTTCTTATTTTATCCATTATAATATGACCACACATCCATCTTATATCCTCATTTTCACTATACTCATCTTATAAACATTGTGTAATTTAGCAATGAAAAATTAGTACCATAAAGAATTACAAGTTTAATACCATTCTGTAAAATACATAGATCTCCCTATTCTACAAATAGCTCATTTAATGAGCTTATTATTTAAAGATGCCACAATTTTTCCAAACAAAAATTGAAGGACAATAATAAGGTCATGTCATTGTCTGATACCATATTAAACCGAAAGCAATTGAACTAGGCATTGTCTGATACCAAAAGCAATTGAACCAAATTAAACCAAAAGCAATTGAACTCAAAGGCACCCTCCACTCTTTAGCCAATTGAACTGTGACACATATTTGATAGCATGAGAAATGCCTCAAACATGACTTCTAACACTCTTTAGGTCTGTCCATATTGAAAATTCACTCTAAACAACATAGATATGTAGCTAATAAGTGATGAAACTAAGAAATTAAACATGACTTTGTCAAATGACATAAACAAATATAACACAAACTCACAAAAATATTGCATTTGAAAGTAAAAATTGAAAATGTTATTTAGCACAGAACGATGCAAGAAAGGTAGTCAATATCAATTAACTAAAAAACACACGGAAATACCTTTGAATATAGCAGAAAATGGAGGTAATTTAGGTGGCTTCCGAGTCTGCTAGAAACAAAAGATGGGAGAGACATCAAATTGAAGTGTATTGACAGGTAGAATGTTAGCACATAATGGAACACACCCAAATCTAATGTTGGTACACGACTAGAAATCATGAACAACAAATAATGAAAGATTGAATACCATTCATTGCCCAATTAAACATAAAAAGATAGTATATTGCATATTAAACCTAAATCAAACGAAAGATGTAGAAAATCTAACTCTAAACATAACGTGCAAGGTCCAGACAAGTTTCAGGCGAGATGACATTCAGTTTCTTTTTAATTTAACAAGTATTTACTCTCTCTTCCACACCCCAATCCAACAAGAAAAAATGTTTCAAGGTTCATCTAAGCTTATTAAGTTACATTTAAACAATTTTGCTACATGGCAGTAGCAAATAATGAAATATATCTAGAAATGAATGTTGGTACGAGTTCAGAACAAATCAGCACTGTTAAAAGACATGCCATATTTGTCTGCAATGTACAACATGCCGTAGTTGTGACCAGGAAATTATGTCCCCCAACTAATGGAAGATTAAATATCATTTACCACCCAGTAAAATATAAATAAGATTACTCCAGCCATACATTGTTTATGAATCAAAATAATCAGTGAACAGATGTGCAGAATTTAACTATAAAAATATCATGCAAAGTTCAAAGAAGTCTCACCACACGACAAATTTATACCTCTTTTACTTTTTTGACACGCATTTACCACCCCTACGCCGTTCAACACCGAAGCAACATTTCAAGGTTCATCTAAGCTTCTTGAGATGCATTCAAGAAAAACTGCAACATAATCTAACAATAACATACCACTTATAGATAAACAAAATTTTATACTGGAGCATAAATAATTAAAGAAATTGTTAAATAGAAGGAATGGATAAATTACGAATGTCCAAAACTTTACCTGCAAATGAAAAGCAACCAACAGTATTATGGAGAGAGAATTCAAGGTTTTATCTTTCGAACTATTAATGTTCTGCACTTTTGCCAAGGTTTTCATCTGCTGAGATCGACAGTGCCAATTAGATAACATAGCATTGATCATTATACTTTAAGAAAAATAAAACTACACAAGATTCTTAAGCATAGCAATCTAGTAGACATCTGAGGAAAACATGTACGAGATCATCTTTAAATGCATCTGAAAATTCAAATTCTAACCACAAACATAAGGAAAAATGGCGGGCAGTATTCTGAATGGATTAGTTTGGGAAGCTTCGCCTGTTTTAATGCCTGCTAGTTATGTTTCCACAAATAATATTTTGCAGAGATCTATCACGTTAGCAGTGTGTCAGTCAGGATGTTCCAGAGACACTCCCATTATTTTAGTATGGTCTGATGTTCAGGCTCCATTTAACAATTAAGCTTCATCTACAGAGCATTTTCCTAAATCTCTTAGAAAGATTTATAATGTAAATACACATCTATTAGATATACTTGATCTTATTTTAGTCTTCTTATGCTATCGGAAATCTATTACTCCTATAAAGTGATAACTTAAAACCTTAAGACTCTTCAGGTTTCGATAATTGCTTCAAAACATGCACCATGGTGTAAGTTGTCAAGGCTTACAATTCAACTTACTAAGGGGGACATGGCTCAAGGCATAAGTCTCAAGGCAATTGAGGTGAGCAGTCTTTCCTCTAGTTCCCAAAGCAGAGTATTTAAATGATTCTCCCCCTTGATAGCGAATCACACTCTAGAGATCCGCAGAGAACCAATTTCAATTTGTGATGGTGCACAGTCCTATTTATGGATGCTAAAACCCCGCAAAGACAACCCTACGATATCCTAAAATATGGCCTAGTTTGTAAAGTAACCATATCGATTCTAAAATGCATGTTTATCGTGACTTCATAAAGTGATAAAATGCTTAACTGAAACCCAAAAGATCCATTTTACTATAGTAAATTACTACCAGTTTACTAACTCTACAATTAGAAACTATAGTAGAGTTTAACTCCTAAAGGTACCCAAAAAGGAGAAACAAGAAAATTCCAATAAAAACACTAATATCATATCATGTAAACTTGATAATTTTTTTTTTCAAAGCTAGTCCTGGATCATCGAAATCCATTTTTTCTCTTCATCCTAACTCCAAGAAACATTTATAAGTAATTGAGCTTTCTACAAGACAACTAATGAATACTGTTATATCCCAAGGACACAATTGGCTCTCTCAGTTTTCCAACTTGTTGACCCATGTATACTCCAGATTTGGAGGCTTACTTTCTATTATATCAGCTGAGAGCCTTGAGCATTGTACAAGGACATGCTCATTACCTTTGTGTGGATTTGCCCCACAACTGTAGGCGAGTCTTATAGATTATGTAAGAATAATTAGAGGAATACCAACAGACCATCTAAAAGCTTATATATTAAATGGAAAAGGTATTAAATAATGTGCACTGCAACTATGCCCGTAAGAGCATTCTATTGGGAATATAAATATTGAAATTAATCAAATGATCATGCTACAAGTTAAACAAAATATAAAAGCATCAGCATACACTTCTATTTCGGACTGAGAAGGATGAGATGGAATGTTGACAAATGAAGCTGAAGGTTGAACGATGAAATATAGATGTATAAAAGAACGAAGAAATCGAACTTTACCAAGAAGCTTAGCTTTTTAAACCTTTCATCAATTGAGGAAATTAGGTGGATAATCTGGGATTTTAAGATTCCATCCCTATTTTCAACTGATATATCACATTCAACTCTAGTTCCTCGATCAACAACTTTCAGAATAGGCACCTTGGCAGTTGTGATTGGAAGAACACCAGAAACATGCCCTTTACCTGTAGAATACCAATACAGATATAAGATGCATCCAAGCACCATTTCTTATTTTTTTGATCAAGAATAAAAGGAGAATGAAGAAGGTAGAAACAAGAAGTCTTCATTAGTAATTGCAACTACTGTTATAATTCTAGTGAAAGCCATCTACCAATCCATGGAACTTAACCAAATAGAACATAAGTTACTGCTTGAAGGAGCTCCTTCTCAACACTACTTAGTTTCCATCATATCTTTTGATAGGAAAAGATTACAAAAATTGGAAAACTAAAATAGTAAGAGAGACAGAGAGGATAAGTAAAACTTAACATAGAAGTTTGATGAAGAAGAGGAAGAATTCAACAAATCAGGAGCTAATTTGTAAACGAACCCATAGAATTCTGAACAGCCAAGTAAAGTACCATTTATCACAAAATGCGTGAGATAATCTTCACCTGAAATAATAGCAAGCATAACCACTCAAATGCCCCAAGTATTGTCACAAATCCCCCAATTATCTTCTTATCTTGTAATTATTAAATTTCTAAATTTATTCTTTCATCTTAGGTTTATTGTTATGCCTAGAAATGATAAGAAAGAAAAGATAATATCTCAAATGATCTTTGCCTCTGTTACATATTACCCAGTCTTAGATTTATTGTTATGCCTAGAAATGATAAGAAAGAAAAGATAATATCTCAAATGATCTTTGCCTCTGTTACATATTACCCAGTCTTAGATTTATTGTTATGCCTAGAAATGATAAGAAAGAAAAGATAATATCTCAAATGATCTTTGCCTCTGTTACATATTACCCAGTCTTAGATTTATTGTTATGCCTAGAAATGATAAGAAAGAAAAGATAATATCTCAAATGATCTTTGCTTCTGTTACATATTACCCAGTATCTGCCTATGAAATCTAGAACATAAGTTCTTGACTTACAAGATAGAACTCGATAGGAGCCAAAAAGTATAAGTATATTATCATTGCATCTGTGAGCTAAAAGTAAAACAAAAAATTTTACAGAATTATAATGGACTAAAGCATATACACAGAAATTCCATAGGAAAGTGAGACCACAGCTCCTCGTTTTTTCCAGTTAGTCAATTAGATTTCTTACATCCTTCAAACCCTATTTAAAATTCATTGTCTTCAGATGATAATCATAACGCTGTTGTTTTCCAACCATGACCTTCAACTTTTTTCCCTTGTAAATTTGTCATAGGATACAGGTCATGAATATTATGGATCTCGCTTTCACTATACTCTTTTTTTCCCCAATTGCTCTTTCAACGGCTTTTTAACTAAAAATGCCACCTAACTATTAGAAATGGCCAACTACACATACATTTGCCTAGAAGATAAATATACCTCTGATTTCTGAAGCCTAAATTACCTTCAGAATTTGCAGTTTAAGAAATGAACAAGTTCAATATAATTATATAAATAATAAAATATGAATCAAAACAAACCAGGAAAAATACAATCTAAAATTTTTACTTTGTAGAGCGTATAGTTTCTTTGCAAACTTCCTCAGAGTTTGAATCTTCTTTTCACGCGGAAATTCAATTGCATTAGAGCTAAAATTCACAGAGAGATCTAAATCACTTGTTGTGCTAAAGAGATCCATTAAGAAAGAACCAAATTCCACCACAACGGGAGTCACTTTTGAATATCCTGAAAAGAAAAGGATCAAACCACCACCATGATAAGAATGTAATCCATAAGATAGGCAGATTTCTCTGGTCAATGAAATAATCATCTCGATAAAATAAAATGCAAAGCATTGTGAATAAAGATCCACGATTATTAGAAAATTAAAACAAGAAGCAAATATAACAAAGGGAATTCCTTTCTAATGTTGAGGTAGTGTAAGTAAATTCAGCATGAAGTATTACCATATAACTCCTTTGCAATTTCATTAAACGTATTAAGTCCCTTCGAGATTCATAATCACTTAGTTTTGTGCGATGAATGGCATAAACACCTTGATGAAGTTGCTCAAGAGCAGATACACGTTCCTTTGTCACTGCTGGACCCTGTAATTTCTTCAACTCAAACTTCTCTGCTCTCTTTTCCAAAACTAAAGGCATAGCACAAAAAGAGTAAGATCTCTTGTAACTATGATATGCAAAACATCAACACCTGTAGCTAGCACTTAGCTAGATAAAAAAAGCAGTTGTGTAAATGCATTAACCCTTTGTGATATCTGTAAACTCGTGAATTTTGTTGAGAAAAAAAGGAATTTCACCTTTTGGGTATGTTTTTACATCTATTAGCTCCAATAAAAAAACTGAATTTGACAAGGTATAATTTCCTCAACTTGCCAATCCAACCAACTGAAAATCTCTTAGACATATCCTAGCAGAAGTGCCCACAAATTCGAAATACCACATAGTCATTTACATATGGAGATATATGTTGAACTAAAAGGTATTATTGTGACTTTTTCCCTCATTAGCACAAGTTTTGTCTCCAAATAATGAACCATGAGTACAACCTATCTACATATCATTTTAAGATTAAGAACAAGGTCTATTTACCGCTTCAAGAGGATCACCAACTAGCTAGCCAAAAAGATTGAAACGGAAGTTCCTTTACTTTAATTGACACAGGGACGGGAGCCATTGCATGGCCAATTGTCAGTATAACTACAGATGCCCATGACAAAGTCAACGTAATTTGATCTTTTTATTTTTTGTTATGTTTATCCATTAAAGTATCATTGAAAATTATCTCTTGTTTCCAGTATGACCAAAAACATTTCTTCTTATGTTTTACTTTCTTTGCTTTAGATTTCAAGCTTGTCAACAGACAACAAGATCATAATAATCATTCTTGGTATTCAATGATCAGATTTTCTTATTGCAAGCTTATACTTGTTGACAACAAAGTTATTATCAACAAACTCCTCTCACCAAACCAGAATTTTTTTCCTCCTAAACTCACAGTGTTTGATGCTCAACAAAGAGGGAAAATGTCTATTAAGGAGGAAGATATTTTAGTTTGCGTGCGCTTATCCTTCTAGGTGAGACTATTTATAGATTTCCCTGAGGGTCTTGAGGGCAATTGGGTCCTTTTATTAAATTCATTCCTGTCATTTAATGGTGGATTTCTAACTAATTCTGTTAGGTACTCACATTTCATACTTCAAACATTTAACCATGCGTATTTTAATACCAGGTTGAAGAGTTTCTTCCAACGTGGAATTTTATGGATTCAATTTGCCTTTCTTCTCTGTGAGCTTTTACGCTTACTCTTTCTTCTCCACATCTTCAGGTTTTGTATAGACAGGTTATGAGCTCGCTTGCTCCTCTGAATTTTCTTATTCAACAATACTTATAAACAGGAACGATTCAAGAATTTCCCCCTTTAAATAAGTGAACTTTTTTCAACATTTTTACATATACCTAAAGTATCCTAATCTCCCTATTTACACAGAACAATAAACAGATATCCCAGACGAGAAATATCGAAAGCTACATAAAATTGAAAGCCCAATTCTCATACTGAAAAGAGCATTGCTGTAGGCATTCTTTGACTTTGAGAAACCATTATTATGATAGAAAATTTAAAATTCACAATTTCGTCAAAAACAAATTTGAACATTAAAATTACTGATTTAAACCGAAAAATTGATCCTGTCTTTTCCAACCAGTGGGTTACCAATTAAATTCAGCATATAAATATCAAAATTTAGGCAAATAAGAAAAAATATCTCCTTATGTTTCTGCATGTGCATAAACAAAGTAAACCCACGTAAAAATATACCATAAGTTACCATATATTGGTACACACACCCCCACAAAAGTCACCTTTTGCAGGCAACGCCATATCTCCAGAAAATCTGCAACTTCACTGCCCAAATTAATTTAACAAATGAAAATTATAAACCAATAACTTCAGCAGAGATCCATTCTTGTTTTCTCTTCGTGGAGTTTTCTGGAGAGTGGAGAAGAAGACGAAGGGTCCAACGTCCCCTTTGATTTGATTTCAGCAACCAGTTGCAAAACGGAATACCTCGGCCCGTTATTGAATTGACCTCGTGAGTATTATATAATGAAAGTACAAGTCTTACGTTTTAAACTTCAGTCGGATTTGGACCGCTTTTTTATTCTTTTTCTTCATTTTCCCACCCTACTTGAATAAATTGATGGAGAAAGTAAAAATCTTGAGTTCAGATAAAAAGGATACTTTTTGTCGGATAAAAAAATATTGGTAGATTTTGAAAGCAGCCAATAAGATGTATTGCGTGTTTATTGTATATTAGCTTCATACTCCTTTTCTTCAGTATATTTTGTCGTGTTTTACCATTGCAGTATTTCTTTTTTCAGGGCAAAGTCATTTCCTTCGAATGTTTTATTAATATCAAGTCTACCAATTTTTAGTTAATGATTTGCATTATAATTCAAATCTTGTAATGAACTGAGAAGTGTTTCTAAAGAAAGGTAATTCGAATGATTTGTGGAAGTTACAATTACGATAAATGCAACCCTAATACAGATGTTGGCATGAATCTTAAGGGGAATGGGCCTAATTAAGAGGGTAAGTAATTTTTGTGGTTGTAGTTCCATCTCTTTTTATGAAGACAAATCACCTTTTATTTTTTGTGCTTAGTTTGTTCACTTATCGTTAACTTAAGTCTTTGAGAAAAAGAACTCTAATAAAAAATGGTGCTAAGAGGAATTAAAAAAAAAAAAAAATTATTTACAATGGGAGAAGAAGTAAAATGAAAAATATTGGCAATTTGCAATATTGCCACTTTTACATGAACATATGTTACAACTTCATATTCTTTAGAATTTTAAGTTCATAAAACTAGAACATGATATGTAAAATTGTATCTTCATTTATTATAAGAATAAGCATAACATCGATTTAGTTGACTGATACAGTTTAAAAGGGCAATTTCAATTGCGTAGGATCGGGAAAAGAAAAGATAGTTCTTTCTATTATATTATGTTAGATCTAGTTAATGATTTTTGACTTCTGAGTCTTTTCTTCAGTGATGAATTGTTGGCACCAGTCAAGTAGTTTATGTACCTCCCGTACTATAATATTTTCAAATTTATATTCTATTATAGTACTATCAAGAGGATTAGTTGGCTAATTAGATTTTTAATTGCGTGGGACCAGAGAAAATCTTTTCATTATATTAAATTAGTATTAGCTAGTAATTTTAGTTTAACAAATCCTCTTTTTTTTTTTTTTTGGTTATAAATTGTTTACACATGTCCAAGTAGTTTGTGTACTCTCGTGCTACAACATTTGAACATTTAGATGTAATTACGAACAACCGAGAGGGACAAGCTACCAAAGGGATCTATCCGGTCAAAATAAGTTATTTTAGTCCATATAAAAATTATCATATTCATTTTGTACATTTTGGTGGCATGGCCTTGTGGCCGAAATTGTGAATCCTTTATTCCCAATTCTATTTTGGGTGTTGCTAGATCAACTAAAATAAATCAGAAGAGATATGTCAAATAAATTCTTCCCGTTCCTTATTTAGGAAATACTTATTTGGAAAATTTAAAGAAAATATAAATTACAATGTCAAAAGATTGTAATTTACATATTTTATAAAGCGGATTAAATAAAAAATATTGAGCTATGCCAATAAATAGAGATAATATTTGAACAGTAACATTCAAAAAAATATTGAAACTTAAATGTTGCATATAGAGACAAATATTTTATATTATTCTTCCAACAAAAAAATAATAATAATAAAATAAAAATCCTTCCTATTCTAATTGAAACATTAACATTTCAAACCACATTCAGTACTTTTTTGGTAGAGAAACGCTAACATAAGAAATTTAATGTATAGAATATCAACACGTAAATCTAATACAATGTACAGAATACCAACATCTATATTTAATTACACTCACCTCATTAAAGATAGGTAGTATTCCCATCTCGAAAACATTAATACAAAGCAAACAATTTCGCAATGTGCGTGAATGAATTCTTCTTAGCTAATTCCGAGTGACACAAAAGATGGTTCAGTTCATTCAAAGTGGGCATACAAAAGAACATAAGATGATGATGAATTATGAACAACAAAAATATGGACCTAATGCACCGGTGGAGCAAGCACCCAGCGCAAAGGGCGCCACCAAACTAGACACTAATAGCTGTGAAGTGAAGATAGGGACTAAGGGCGAAGATGAGTTTAGTTTGACCGACCATTTTTTTTAAAACAATAAAATTGTGGACTTTTGTTTAGTTGGGCATTCTTAAAAAAAAATGTAATAGGCACATTGATTGCAAAATGAATTCAATTTTGCACAGGGAACAATATTGCTCCAACCTATACTACATTTGCAGAAAACACAAAAAGCAAACCAAATAATTTACATTTAATCTGTGATATACATATAATTTTCATACAGATTATGGAACGATTTTTGGATCGAAAGAATTTTTAATATTATTTAATTAATATTAATAAACCACCTCGTTATTGAGGCTGTTGATTGTCAACGGTTAGACGCCTTAGCTCACCAAACATTCCTGGATTCGTCACTTACCTAATTAAGATAGTAAACCAACAAAGATAAAGTTAAGACCTTACATTTGTACACATATCTTGCAGGGGACCAAGTATTTTTAATCTCTTGTCAAACTTTCTTTTACCACATATTCAAGCAAGATTCAAAATTCTAACA